AGAGGTGAGGACTGGCAATCGGTTGTGATATCTATCCCTTCCTTCTGAAAATGCGGATGCAGATGCACCTTCTGGCCTGGCCTGTGCCAAAGCCATCCTCGCGGCCTCTTGAATTATGCCTTCCAACCGCATGTTGTCACGGGGTCAGAGGCTGGAGGCTTACAAAACCCGGGCCCCTCTTTTCACATCTACACAACCGTACCCCCAAAATGTTCTTCTTGATTCCTCTGGCAAGCTTGGCCGGCACCCACTCGGCATCCTCCGCTTCCCCTCCGGAGGTATCGGTTTCGGACGACAGATCTTCCATAGCCATATCCGTTGACAGCTTTGCCGTCGTGTGCCTACGAGGCTTTGGCTGAAAAGAACCCAAGCCAATAGATAAATACAGAAATATGCGTGCATCTTGGCTGTTGTCTTTTGGGGTTACTAGCTTAGCCTAAAGCCAGATGGGGAACTTTGGAAGAGAGATGTTTGAAACTTATTCAAGGCCAGAAATGTTAACACCAATAAAGGCAAGACATTTAACTCACATCGCCCAGAACCAAGCCAAACTCATAAGCGGTAGAAGGCCTGTCTGGTTTGGGCCAGCATTTTGCAACCAGAAATGGGTGTGATCGTATTTTAAACCAAGGGGTTATGAGGCTGGGGCTTTCCAGATATTCCTGAACTGCATCTCTCATCACCCCTTCCCGGCTGCCACCTGGGGCTAATGGTTATGATTAAACACATCTGGAAGACCTGCACCGTCTTGCAAAGCAGCAAAGCTCCTAGTGATGGCATGTTTGTTCTATTTTGCTAAAAGGCGCCCCATGTTAGATTTCTCCCCATAAGGAGGCGAGCTAATAAGGGAAGGTGCTTTGCCACCGCCTCCCATCTGCCCCCCCCAGGACGTAATACGCACCTTGGGCGGAATATAATCGAAGGGGGACTCCGGGGTGTTGGTAAACGACAGGGGAGCGGTGCGGATCTTCTGGCAGCTGGCCGCTTGGAGAATCTTCAGTTTCTGCCAGGAAGGAAAATGATGGGCGATGAGCTACCGATGCGGAGAGGAGCCAAGGCAGCCTCCTGCCTACCTGGCGGCCATCTTCAGACCTACCTGTCTGGCAGCTTCAAGCTCTTCGGAGAGCTCCTGGTTCTTCTCAAAGACCTCCTTCATTTTTGCCAGCTCTTCATCCTGTTCAGAGAGGAGGAGCGGAGCTTTAAGAAGACCGAGACGGAGAACACCCAGGGGCGGGCTTCCCGAGGCACCTCCGATTTCTGCAGCATCTCTTTCTCAAGATTTTAAATGACCCACGAAGAACCTGGGGCCGTTGTCTATTTCCCCCAGCTGGGGCCTTTCAACATTGGTACAGAGAAAGGAGATCCATGGCTCAAAGTTGCCGGTTGATGGCCTAGACCAGCAGAGGCAAACCTTTTTCAGCTTGAGTGCCCAAAATGGTGGGGAAGAAACCAGTGGCTGCCGTGCCGCCCGGAAGACTAGAACTGGAAGTGGCAGTTTCAGGGGGAATCATGGGGATGGACAGGAAGTTAAAGGGGGAATCATGGGGACGGACAGGAAGTTAAAGGACGCAGAACAGGAAGAGAAAGAGGGAATCCCAGCTGCAGCCACTTCAAAAGGTTTATTTCCACAAGGGAGGGTAGGTGGGCCGCTCACTTGTGTGACAGAAGAAAGGGCTTTGCGTGCTATATGTGGCACGCGTGCCATAGGTTTGCCATCACTGGCCTAGACCCAAGCAGCTTTGACAGGGAGGCAAGGAGCCCTTCTCTCACGACTCTCCAACCGCAGCGCTTCCCCCCTCCGCCATGTCATCCTTCCCTGCTCCAGTTTCTGGAGGGAGGCAACCGCGACGCCTCCCCCCTCCACCATGTCATCCTTCCCTGCTCCAGTTTCTGAGGAGCGCAACGCAACCCTGCTCTGCTGAACATGGAAGAGATGGTGATGCGACGGTGGAAGGCAGCAACCGACTCACAAGGCGTACTCCCTCTCATCTAAATAAATAGGGACTCAAGCCTAAGGCGCCACGGGCTTCCTTCGGCCTCTCCGCCCCCTGCAAGCAGTCTTCTCCCAGGAAAACCCAATGACCAAGAGGTTCCCCTCCTGACCCTGAAAGGCAGCCACATCCAGAGGTGGAGGCTCTCCCGGCTGCTCTTACCTGGAACCGGAGGCGCTCCAGAAGCTGCTGCTCCTGCTCTGAAATGGGGGTCTCCAGCCTCTTCTCTGCTTCTTCTTTATGTTTGATTTGACTGAGCAGGTACAGGACCTATCAAAGGCACAGACAAGGGAAGACAGCATTGCTAGAGAAAGAGAGAGAGTCAAGCTGTTTTAAAAAAAATTCTCGACAGCCCGTCCTACCTTCTCTTGATGCTCCTGCTCCATCTGGACCAGGCGGCTCTCGTGTTCCGCCTCGGCCTCGGCTGCCAGTTTCCGCTCTTCAAGCAGCATCTTATGCATGTCGGCGCACGTGGCTTTGCTCTGACGAAGGCGGTTCTCCAGTTTTGCATCCTCAACTTTGGAGGAGACGAGCTTTGAAGAAACAGAAAAATAAAAGGCAATCTTGAGAAGAACGAGGTCTTTAGTCAAATGGACTTTTGTCCAGCGGGTGGAGGACCAAACAAGTAGGGATACTGCCTTGGCCATCAAGAAGCATCGTAAACTAGCAAGAAAACAGACACAGCTCAGTGGCTTAAGCCCAGTGATGCCAGCTTGCCAAGCAGTCCACCTTAAAGCTCCCTTCCTCTT